ATATATATAACCTGTTTATATATATATTATATACATATATATATATATAAAACCTCAGTTAATAAGCATACTAATGAACACATTCACAGAGAAATAATTCTTCCTTTCAATCAAGCAACAAGTCTCCTCTTACATCTTTAGACTACAGGCCTTTTACTGTTACAAACTTCATTAACTTCGGATTTCACATTTTTCCTATGGTCAGTTTTCTAATACCTCTATTTTTCCTATTTATACAATTCAACTGTGTACAAAAGATTGTTTTCCCAGCCTGGGCAACATGGAGAAATGCCATCCTTGTCAAAAATACAAAAAGTTAGCTGGGCATGGTGGCACATTTCCGTAGTCACAACTACTTGGAAGGCTGAGGCTGAGGTTGGAGGTGCACTTGAGCTCAGGAGTTCAGGGCTGCAGTGAGCTGAGATTATGCCACTGCACTCCAGCCTAGGTGACAGAGGGAGACCTGTCAAAAAAAAAAAAAGATTATTTTCCAAAGGTGTTTATAAAAGATAGAAATAAATGTGATATTGACTATTAATTTAAATATTAATGTTATTTTGGATGCTTAGTTTAGTGTTTCTAAAATAAATATTTATTTGTACTAATTTAAATAATTCTGTTTACTCATGTTAGATATTTTATAGATTAGTACCAATACAAAGACATATTGCTGTGAATCACTCTGAAATTTTTTATTTTTGTTTATGTTTAGATTGCTGTTGCTTTTTTAAAAGCTCAGATATCTGAAAATCTTTGTAGAATAGTGAAAATAAATTCTGGTGATGGCTAAGATTTGATATGTTGCTTTCTTGGTCATTGTGAAGTCCAAACGTACTTTTTCAGTTAACAATGTTAAAGTCAATTTTAAAAAACATAAAAACATAACTTTCATTCAAATACAGAATATACATATATCAAAGAAGCATTTGATTCATTGATAAAAAAGTTAAAAAAAGTTAAAAGGATGGTAAATATAGTTTCAAAGAAAATTCAAGAGATTGAGTATACCTATAGGAATGCAGGAGAGCGTGTTAGAATAACGTTACTAGGTAGCTATACAAGAAGTTGATATCCAACAGGACAATAAACCCATAACCTTTGGAGATATAGTTTCTACTAGACGGAAGCTATTTGCATTTCTACTGAGCAAAAATCTGCAGATTGATAACATGTTACTTTATAGATTCTGGCCTTAATTATTATTCAGTAATAAATAGTAAAATCAGAATTTATTAATTCACCTAGAATTAAGTAATCTTTACCTGTTAGAAGACATTCCACTATGACATTGAGAAGATGTGAAGTTATTTCTTTGCTTTATTTCCTTTTCTTGTTTTTTTGTTTTTTTTCTAATTTTTCTTAACAGTGGTAAGATCACTTTCAAGAGAAACTATATTCCTATCTCTCACCAGCATTTTTGGACAGCTGGGTGCTGGTAATATATAGAATTCAAATGCTCCCTCTCTCTCTCAAAAGATTCATTTTTTTCAGGCTTTTATATGATTAACTTTATTCAGCATAACTCAGTATTTTGTAATTAAGATGACTTTAAAAAATATATCATATGTGTTTGTGCAAATAACTTTTTAGAAAAATTGCTTATAAAAAAGTGACCTACAATGAGTGTTGTATCTAAAATAATGCTGTTAAAAATCACTCAGAAGTTTTTTTCATTTTATGAGATTCTGTTTCTATATATTATGTGTATACCCCATGAAGTTTTCCTGTACCGATGATGTACTTGCGTTGTGAATTATTCTTTGTTCTTTTTTCTCTGAAGGGTATTGTTTACCCGCATGGGAAATCTACGATGTGACTGTAGCTAGTTTGTTGATTTCCCTCTTTCTGTACCTTCTTCCTTTTAGGCCCCCTTTTTCAAGGTGAGCCAAACTTAACTCCTACTCTGAGCACTACATTATTTCCTGTCACTGTAGTTTCTCAGCAATCCTCAGAGCTTTCTTTTATGGCAGTGAATCGGACAGTGCTGGGAAAATGCCTAGGCCTCTTGAAATTAAATGTTCCAAGAGTAATCCTAGTTTATGGGGACAAGTTATAGGACTTGAAGACTGTAGAGAGTGGCAAGATTACTGACGAAGATCTGCCTTTGCCTCATTTTTCTAGACCTGAGAACCGAGAGAGCCCTTTATCAACTAGCTTAAGTGACTCCAGCCTTCTGTTACTGTTGATCAGAATGCCTGTTACAATCTGTAATGCTTTTATGAACTTAGTTGTCCACTTGCTAAATATTGTCTGTCTTCACTAAATGGAAGCACCATGAGGACAGGGGCTATATATGTGTTGAATTCTTTTTTAATCCTAGAATCTCACACAGCGACTCTACATTGGGTCAAAGAAACTTTTATTGAATGAATTCATAGAATTGTGTAGTCGTATACCTGTGAAGCAAGTAGACGGTAAGAATGAGAGAAAATGACAAGTGGCTTCCATTTAAGAGTATGCAATTGCTTTAGGCATCAATGGTTTAATATGTTTTTCTCTATGCCATTGCTGATTGAAATATTCCAGGCACAAAAGCTTTAGGTGCCACAGAAGATAAATATGATCATTATAATGTAATAATAACAGTGGTGAAAAAGAAAAAAAAGTACTAGTAGGCTAAAGTAACACAAGCTAAACCTTTAATGGGAAAAATTCTCCTGGTAGCTAATTTCAAAAATAGTCTTTATCTAAAATGAAATCATTACTGTCATAGTTGCCTTTAAGTGATACATTAACGCAGAGAGAACTGCATTGCTCCAAATGTGTCAGCATTTAAAGTCTGTCTTATTGGAAATTTTCTTAATTTATTATAATCTAATAATCATAGGATGCATTATTTGTATTTGACACAGTTATATTTTTACCATGCACATTCATTCAGCTATGTAACAAGGAATGATTGTTAGGCTAACATTATTCTTTCTACAGAAGGCAATCTTTATTCATGTGCACTTGGTGAATGAATTCTCTATAAGTACATTAGCAAAATGTGAAAAAATAAAACTTCTGAGTCTTCAAAAGATAGCTGCATAAAATAGTTGACAAAAATTTGCAGGGTGGTATATACAAATGATTCACATAAAATATGATGAATAATCGGAATCAAATGCATATTTGGGCTTTTGAACAGCTGTAATAATTTTGTCAAATGAAACAAGATGAGTAAACTGGAATGTCATTTTGTTGACTGGAAGAAGTCAGCTTGCCAGTTGAAAAATAGCTTCATATTCCATTGTATTTTTTGAGCCTCTTCATTTATTATATAAGTACACTCTCAAGGGTAATTGCCTTAAAAATCTTTGACTTATGAAATGTAGACAGTACTGTCAGGATTTCCAAGTGTTATGAGATTTTTTTATGTCTCTTGTGCAGGTGCAACTGATTTTGACAGATGTATTGTTATGTTACTGGTATAACATGACATCTTTTCTCAGATGAACTGAATAAGAGTGATCTTGACAATAAGTAGATAAGGCACAGTCAGAAAGCTGAAAAAAACATGTCAGTGTCACAGTTATGATACAAATACCACAGAACAGACCTTACAATATCATTAAGTCAGGGTCTTTCCAACAATGCCCTTGAGAAGACAGAAAATAATATTGCTCTTAAATACTGTCACTTAACCACAAACATAATAAAATAAGACAAAGCACAAAGGTCAGTTTAACATGTACTAAAAGTGGCATTTGATGAGTCTATGCTATGTGTGTATCTTTGTGTATAGATCTCATTAACATAGTGTATGGATGAAAGAATTTTGAGATATCAAAACCAGTTTCTCTGGAGCCAAAAAAACATTTAACTTCAGAATTTCAAGAAATCCATTAAAAACACTGATTGTAAAATATGTAAAGTGATTTAATGTAGATTAGTTATAACTTTGTTTAATGGAATAAGAAGAAATAGCCTTTAGTAATATGGAAAAATGGCCCATATTACTCACGCCTGTAGTTGCAGCACTTTGGGTGGCTGAGGTGGGCAGATCGGCTGAACCCAGGAGTTCAAGACCAGCCTGGGCAACATAATGAGGACCTCATCACCATAAAAAATTAAATTAGCCAAGCATGGTAGTGCACACTTGTGGTTCCCCCTGCTCAGGAGGTTGAGGTGAGAGGGTCTCTTGATCTTCAGAGGTCAAAGCTGCAGTGAGCTGAGATAGTACCTTTGCCACTACATTGCAGCCTGGGCAGCAGAGCAAGACCCTACCTCTCTCTCTCTATATATAATAAAATATATAATATATATAATTTTCTCATGTATATTTAATGAGAAAATTATATAATTATATAATATATAATTAATATATATATTTAATGAGAATATTATACCTATATAATATTTAATGACATTATATATATATATATAAATGAGAAAATTAGGAATACATTTAAAAATGTATTCCTAGATCATGAATTTTATAAACAGGTTAGTAAAGACCAAAATGAAATCAACCCCAGGTGTCAATAGGAATTTAGATGTTTGGTGGTTATATTTTCCTTTACTTTTGACTGGTCAGGAGCTGAACTACACAGACAGTCCCCCGACTTACAAGGATTCAACTTACGGTTTTTTAACTTTACAGTGGTGCAGAGACAATACATGCTCATTAGAAGCCATACACCGAGTACCTATCCAACCATTCTGTCTTTCACTTTCAGTGCAGTATTCAGTAAATTACATGAGATATTAAGCACTTTATTCTAGAATGATTTTTGTGTTAGATGATTTTGTCCGACAGTAGGCGAATGTAAGTGTTCCGAGTATGTTTAAGGTAGTCTGGGCTAAACTATGAGGTTTGGGGGGTTACATGTATTAAATGCATTTTCAACTTACAGTATTTTCAACTTATGACAGGTTTATCAGAATATAACTCTGTCATTAGTATATGCATGTGTGTGAGTATATATAATGCTTTTTCTCAATATATAATGCATTTAAAATGCTCTAATGAAAAATATATTTATCCTTAGAATGACTTCTAATATCTTCGTTTCTAGGATCAGAAGTGGTTGATCTTGATGGAAAAAGTTCCCTTCTCTACAGATTTGATCAAAAATCCCTGAGCCCAATAAAAGACATTATTTCTTTAAAATTCAAAACCATGCAGAGTGATGGGGTTCTACTCCACAGGGAAGGGCCAAATGGAGATCACATCACACTGCAGTTAAGAAAAGGAAGACTCTTTTTACTTATTAACTCAGGTAAAACTTTTTGGCGAAGTGCTCAAAAATCTGATTATTTAAACATCACTTAAGTAACTTTATGATTTTATTGCTTCTCTTTTAACAGTCAAAGTGCCTTGTCAGATTCAAGGGCTTGTACATATGCCAATATTGCTCTTTCATGTGAAAATGGTTTGTAATTTGCAAATTGCACAAAATCCTCATTCAGTGTTTTTTAAATAATGCTGATAGAACTGTATAGCTATTTCCTGACATCATAAAGGAAGGGATGGGTCATTGAAAAATGTGGAGGTGGTAAAAATAATGAGGTTGTAGCGAAGATAAAATTTACGTAGAAAATGAGCATGCAATTGGTAATAAGGATAAAAAGAATTAACAGTGGAGGAAATTGCAACAAGGTTGAGAGCGTATTATATTCAAACTTCAGGGAAATCCATCCTAGTGTTTGAAATGGAATGCATGAAAGGAGATTGCAATTACTATGAAAAATGCTGGTCCACAAAAGGGAAAGTTTTTTTTTTTCTTTAAACTGGCAGTAATGGTGCTGTTATTTTTTCCCCCTTCTAAGGTGAAGCTAAACTGCCTTCCACTTCCGCCCTGGTCAATCTCACCCTGGGCAGCCTGCTAGATGATCAGCATTGGCATTCAGTGCTCATCCAGCGTTTGGGCAAACTAATCAACTTTACAGTGGACGAACACAGGCATCATTTCCACGCACGGGGAGAATTCAGTTTCCTGAATCTTGATGATGAGGTGTGATGGTTATATTTCAATGAAGGCTGATTTTATTATGCATATGTGGTTTAATCTCCCAAAGGAAAATACACTATAAAGAACCCACCTTTTACAGTAAATCATAGAACAGGTGAAGCATTTCCCGAGGTGGCCTAACTCACAGTAGCAGCTTTGGGCACATGGAACTTGCAGCTTCATCTTTCTCACAGTGTGTAAATTTATTATGATAGAGGGAGATCATCTTTTTTACCTGAAATATGTAGTTACAGAGCATGACGCATAGGATATCTTCTGCACCAAGAGATCTTACTACCACAAACAAATACAAGATATTTTCTATGACTTCTTGTGCTCTAGGGTATTTGTGAGCAGTATGAATTTATGAAGGGAATGTAGCAACAAACTGATTGATTAATTCATTAGCAATAGATTCAAATGCACAAATACCAATATGTGCCAGAAACGTGTCTAAAATAAAATATAGTAATTGGTTACAGTATCAAACAGATCAAGTTTTACCATGATATAAAGATGTATTTTTCATCAAACAATAGATATCAAAGCCAGGTGTGATCAGCAACTTGTACAAATAAAGTTCTAGTGTGAATAAAAGCCAAATGCGCATAAATTTGTTTTAATCTATATCTTAATTTTTGTGTGTAGGATTGTGAAAAGTTGATCTGTGTGTGGTGATTATAGCTATACTTGCTAATTATAATAACTTAAGCAGATTATTAGAAAAATCACTAAACAATATTATTGATGCTACTTTTCTTTCTAAGATCAGCTTTGGAGGGATTCCAGCACCTGGAAAATCAGTGTCATTCCCACACAGAAATTTTCATGGATGCTTAGAAAATCTCTATTATAATGGAGTGAATATCATTGATTTGGCCAAGCAACAAAAACCACAGATAATTGCTATGGTAAGAGTCTTTATGTGAAGACATTAGTAAAACTATATTTCTTTTTCCAAACAGTGAAATTGCTCCATTTTAGGTTCCCATTTAACAGGATGTTTTAGAGGTTACTCTTATTTAAATATTTTTCTTTGATTGGCAATATGCATATGAAAGACTGATTCTATCTGAAACAATTATAACTTTGGGGCATAATTATTTTGTCTTTATATGAAGTAAAGCAGTGTTTTATGGTTGATATTTTAATTTTATTGTGATGTCATTACTCGCAGTAGTCTAATTTCTTTTGCTCAGTAATTTTTTTTTCTCTTTAGAGACAGAGTCTTGCTCTGTCACCAGGCTGGAGTGCAGTGGTGTGATCTCGGCTCACTGCAGCCTCCGCCTTCCAGATTCAAGTGATTCTCCTATCTCAGCCTCCTGAGTAGCTGGAACTACAGATGCCTGCCACCACACCTGTGTAATTTTTAGTGTATTTAGCAGAGACAGGGTTTCTCCATGTTGTTCAGGCTGGTCTCAAACTCCTGACCTCAGGTGATCCACCCACTTTGGCCTCCAAAGTACTGAGATTCCAGGCATGATCCACTGTGCCCAGCCTCCTCTGTAATTTTTTAAATAAGATATTCCCTGACAAACTTACCAGATAAGCATACAGAGTTTCTGGAATCAGATAACATCCTTGTATATTAGGGAGACGTGAAAAACTTGTATTTTGCCATAGTCATTCATGATAAAGAGATGAACAAAAAACAGCATGTATGAAACATCACATGTAGAAAATCTGCACCAAGAGATCTTAATACCACAAGCATATATAGGCTGTGTTACAATATTGCCTCTGCCAATCTGTCCAAATGGCAGTGTTGGTCAGACTGCATTATATTAGAATTCTATGGAAATGGGGCAGAATTTAAATATAGTTGTCTTGGTTAGGTTTTAGTTAGGGAAACAGCACCAATGTAAGTATTGTGAACAGTGCATCTATTTTAGGACTTGGACCTTAACAATTTTCAGAGGAGCTAAAAAGTGAATGGCCTAGCAGGGGAAGTGCGGGGATCAGCGGAGTCATGAATTCTGTCTAAAGCAACGGTGTGTGGAGGTGTGTTGGAGCTCACAGACGTTTCAGCCTAGGAGGGTTGAAGAGAACTTGGGCAGTTGTTGCCTGTGGGTAGCCACCACCCCTGTGGGTTCCCAGGCATGCATTTGGGATGGGCCTGGGCTTGCTGTTGGTCAGCTGGGCCAGCTGTCAGGAAGAAGAGATGGGCCATAGCGCAGGAGAGCAAGGACAGAGTGGAACAAACCAGCCGCTGTGTGACCATCACTCATCACACATGATTATAGAAAAAAACCTTTGGGGCAAAATGTGTTGCTGGTGTTTTAATTCTAACTGTCAAATATCACCCCAACTCTCTGTTTTGGCTTTTACCCAGAAGCAGGCAAGTAAGGGCATTCTGGGAAACATGGTTTCTAGCTAAAGCAGGCACATATTGCTTTGAATGAATTTCTTTCATTGCTTAAAATCCAAAGTATGTAAATTTAAGCTGACGTTTGGGCAAAACCCAAAGCACACCACAAGCATATTTATTGTTTACACAGCATTTTATTTCTAATTATGTATGAATCGGTGTTATTTATATGAGCATAACAACCAGCAAGGTTTTAAAATAGTTGTTTTTTATAAAATGGAAATTGTTTAAAAGGAAAATAAAAATATTATAGATATGTGTGTGTGTGTTTACATGCATGCATGTGTGTATATTATCCATAACACAAGTTTCTAGAAACTTCAAGGACCATTCAGTCTTCTTTGGCAAGAGGATTTGCTGCCAGTAAGATATCAGGCAGCTATCCAAATGATGCATAAGATCACACTGCCGGTTAATGGGTACAAAAATATGATTAGAAAGAAGGGGGCAATAATTTCTAGTTTTCAGTAGCACAGTAGGGTGACTTTAGTTAACAAGGATTTATAGTATATTTCAAAATACCTACAAGACAAGTTTTGCAATGTTCTCAACACAAAGAAAAGATAAATGTTTGAAATGATGGACGTACCAATTATCCTGAGTTGCTTATTACATATTACATGTATGTATCAAAATATCACCTGTGCCTCATAAGTATGTATAACTCTTATGTATCACTAAGAAAAAAAAAGACCAATCTACAGCTGTTAAAAATGTTTCCATTTTTTTCTAGGCCTGGTAGTCTTATAATTGAATTTACATTATAGAGTAGCATATGGGTTAGTGTGGTTTGCTGTTTAGCTTTTGTTATTTCCTTCATTGGAACAACATATTTTTTTTTTACCATAAAAGTGAATTCACTTTTCACAGATTCATAATAGAGCCAAATGTTTTCATTTGACTAAGACCAAATGTTTTATTCTAATGTGTGCTCTTCTAAATAAGGTTGACTTCATTGACTTTAAATTTATATTAAAGTTGATAAATGGAGAGAAGAGCAGAGAAAGGGGTTGAAGAACCTTTAAGAAACAGGGCAGTGATTTGGATTGTCATGTTGATAGCAGGTGGTTGTTTTTTTTTTTTTTTAAATCGAGGATAATGTGAGATTGCAACGCAGTCCTCAAATTCTGTTACTAATGTGATGTGAATAACATTCTGAAAGCTTTTTCTTTTACTTTATTCTCAGGGAAATGTGTCATTTGCTTGTTCACAACCACAATCTATGCCCGTGACTTTTCTGAGCTCCAGGAGTTATTTAGCGCTGCCAGACTTCTCTGGAGAGGAAGAGGTTTCTGCCACTTTTCAATTTCGAACTTGGAATAAGGCAGGGCTTCTGCTATTCAGTGAACTTCCGCTGGTTTCAGGGGGTGTCCTCCTCTTTCTGAGTGATGGAAAACTTAAGCTGAATCTCTCCCAGCCAGGAAAATTACCCAGTGACATCACAGCAGGTAATAAATGTATTCCCCAGGGCAAAGCATATGGATTTGAAAGATTTCATTATCTCTGTGACCAAATTTTATGCATAACCAAAAATTTAATATTTGCCTAATAAATGAATACTCAGGTTAATAAGATCATAAGCACTCTTCCTTAGAGGAACTTGATTCCAATTTTCTTTTAAATATGGTTCCAACACTAGCAGTTCTTATTAACCAAAATGATAGTTTTGGGGGAACTGACATTTCCTTTCATGACCCTGCCTCCCACTTTGGACAAAGAACATCTCCTAAGGTGTTGAAGAACCTTTAAGAAACAGTGTTTTGGGGAATACGTGAAGACTTTGAAACTGGCCAACAAGTTAACTAAATGTCCTTCAAGGGGAAACTAGACTTTTCCTAACAGATCTATTAGTCTTGTCTGTGGGAAAAAGGGAGAGGTCTTTCTGGGATGTGTATCTATATCTCTATATGAGCGTGCAGTGTGAATGGTAACTTCACTTGCTGAGGATGTAAAGATTTGTGTGAAGTTCCTCATTCGGGCACCAAATGAAATTCTCTCTACTTCTAGACAGTGTGGTATCATTTTAATGATTAGAAGTAGTATAATTAAGGTGACTATATGAGTGTCTGGAAAATGAATGTCTGATTTAGGTCAGTGCGGTGAGTGAGGGATGTTTTTGTCTCTCTATTAAAATTTGATCATTCTTGACGAAAGCGCTACATCACTTTTGTACGTATGTACAATAGCATCCAAGCCAAGCAACTAGAGGTTCCCTTGGGGTAAATTACTACATTAACTTAACAAATGCTCTTTAAAAACAACTTAAAGATTCAATTTTACTACTCCTCTATATCAACTATGACCAAAACGTAGTAGAGTGTGACTTGAAGAGGAGAAAAAAATGACAAGTTAAAATACAGTTGGAAATTAAATATAAGAAAACAGGTATACAAATGGATATACAAATGCCTATTCTTTACATGTCTTTTTGTTACTGTACCACTATTGTAGTTTAAATATGGAACGGAGAATTCAATATTAGTTATAATTTTTAAAGAGCTACTATGCTGTGACTTTTTACGTAATGTTCAAAATGTGGTAGATTTGCTGGCTAGACAAAAAGAAATAAATTAATCAGTCCTATATTAATAATTAATAGGCCCTGAAAATGAAGGTCTAAAAATGTAAGCTTGCCATTAATGTGTCATTTATTGTAATATATTTGACATCTTCTGAAGTGGTTATATTCATACCCTAATTTTCAACATCTTAAAGAAATAGCTTCAGTGCAATATTTCTGTGGTGAGCTTCATGAAGCCAGCCTATTTCTTGATTCTTTCTTTCTTTTTCTTTTCTTTTTTTCTTGAGGCAGAGATTCACTCTTGTTGCCTAGGCTGGAGTGCAATGGCACTATCCTGGCTCACTGCCACCTCTGCCTCCTGGGTTCAAGCAATTCTCCTGCCTCAGCCTTCCGAGTATCTGGGATTACAGGCTTGTACCACCACACCCACCGAATTCTTGTATTTTTTAGTAGAGATGGGGTTTATCCCTGTCACTCAGGCTGAAGCCAGCCCACATCTAACAACTTAACAGGCATGTATAACTGTATCTAGGAATAAGTTGTATAAAATACACTGAGAGATTTAAAAATTTCTAAATGAATATTTACATTCATATACAATATAATCTGTTATGAAATCATCTGATGTTGATACTAGACTAAATACACATGTCAGTATTAAAAACTCTCTCTACTCTTCTTTTTTTCAGTTTCTTTCACAATGTTATTTTTTGCTAGTTCCCGTGAAGCAAGTGCATTTTGGATTTGAAAATAGACCACTTTAATGGTAGTTGGGTGGGTGGTCAGTTTGTTCTCTCAAGAGGAAGACTTACTATTTATGTTTCATGAATGCAATGTTTGATAATCAAACCAGTTGTCAGGATGCATTACAATGACTTTCAAGAGAACCATGTCTTTACTGATGGATTGCCATCACATTGTACTAAATCTTTTCATTATAAAGGGATGGATTATTTTTTCCTAGCTACTGGAGATATATTTTACAAATCTTACATGTTTGAAAAACTCAGCATTTTAATGTATTTTATAATGAAATTAAGATTAAATTGTATTGAGAAAGAACTGAATTGTGCATATGTTTGAGTTATCAGACTAAATTTTTAATATGATGTACAGTTTTGTAAATTGTCATTTGGAAATAAAAATATTATGTCAGCTTAATTTTTGAAATACTTGAGATATTATATTAGTCTGAATCATGAAACATATTAGCAGCACTATAAAATCCCTTATGACACAAAATATTTTTAGTCTTTGCCACCTTTATAGATATCAAAGCAAAAATCAGTGAACAGTATAGTTTTATTTTCTTATTTAAAACAAAGTTTTTAATATCAAATTTGAGATTCCTACTATGATTTTAGCTTTCTGCTGCTGTGTTTGCCTAACAGTGAAAATCAGGCTTATAACCATGCCTCTTGTTCCCATGGGCAGGGCCTGGCAGAGGCAGGCTTGCAGTATTTGAGATGCTTCTGCATTTTTCTATTACTAAGCATTCTAGATTCTTGTGCCCCTGACAATGGAGCAGCCCCCTTGATTTGCTGCACTCAGGAGAGCCATTTTTGTCAATCCCCCTTCCTCCCTTTCACTGTTAAAATTATTCCTAGCTTTTGGGCTGTAAAGCTGTCACCCCTTAAACTCCCACTCTCCACCAAAGTGATGGGTACCAACCACCTCCATATTTTTTTCTTGACAAGAGCTATCTAGTGATCTGGATCCTTAATTCTGGTTAGTGACTACAGTTAGTGGATATAAGAATGTCTGGCACTTCAGAGAACTGAAATACACTTGGGAAGAAGCAACACCCTTTGGTTTTTCCCTGAGGAATGGCCTATGTATAATTGCCTTTTGCACCTTTGCAGAACTCCTGCTCTATATGGCAGACTGATTTTTTTTTTCTTACACATCGTGCACTACAGATATGTGTTGTAATATTATGAGAAGGTGATGGCAACTAAGCTCTCATGTTTCTGATGTAATTAGGAGTGGAACTAGAAGACAGTCTATAGAGAAGGAGTAGACACAAATCTTTTTTCTCCTGCTGTATTTTGTATGTTTATATGATTAAGGCTGAAAGAGAAAAGAGAGCAACAGAAAGAGAAAGAGAGAGAGAAGCTTCTAGTCCATAATCTTATCCTCTTCAACCTGCAACTGCAAACACTTCCATTTATTATTTCATCCTTCCGTTATTCCAATTGGCATTGTCAATGTTTTCCAGCCAAAGACAGCAGTGAACATCTCTGGAGTTAAACAAGTTGATTTTATTGCTTATTGCAACAGAGAGAACACACCCTGGAAACCAAGGGTTGTCTGAAGACAAAGGTGTTAGGATGGCGTAGGATTTGGGTTGTATTAGCTGATCTGAGGGAGGGTTCAAGGAAGTGAAAAGTTGCTGTAGACTACATGCTGTCAGGAACTGAGGGTAATTCTATATTAGATATCTTTGTAAACCTTATCTAGAAGGATGAAAGAATGAAGTAAGGCTCAAGTCGTAATTGGTAAATAGAAGACCAAGCAATTGATCACTCATGGTATCAGGAGAGAAGGAAGGTTGTGTTTTTGTGATTTGTATGGTAGCCTTGCTTCTGTCTGTGTTTGGATGAGATTATACAGTAGTCTGGATCTTTCCCCCCCCTCGTTTCATTATAGTCATAGAATCGCCTTGTCTGGTGTTGGTGTTCTGTGGTATTGTTGATGTTCAGCAGGAGAATACCAAAGCCCAGTCCAAAGAACCCAGCCCAGCCGGATTCTTACAGCACCGACGCCTCACTGACGGTGCGAGGCCATGTCCTAGCTGTTGGGTCCTGTTTTTCTTAAGAGTTAATTGTTCAACGTGAGCAAAACATAAAATAAGGGGAAAACCTGTCTTGCTGATGGCGAAGAGTGTAGGCTTGGAGTCAGTCTTGGTTTTCTGTTTTCCTTCAGCTATTCAGCAGCTGGATATGACGTCAATAGTTTGTTTTTCTCTGAGCCTCATTTTCTCCTTATTTAGGCTGAGAATAATAATAGTTATAGTGAAGATTAACTGATAGAATGCATAACAGGTACTGTGAACCTCAATAAAATTATTGAGGTAATACCTCAATAAAATTATTATTTTATTACTATACCAGCATGTTTCTCCCCACACTTAAAAGTTATGAGTAGTGGGACTGATGCATAGAATTTTCATTTAGTTACACGGTATCATAAATGAGAAGAAAATTCAAATTCTGTGACTTCTCCTTCTCTTTCCTGTTTCACAGTGGCGTGGCCTTTAAAAGGGGCCAACCTATCATCAGACATAGAAATGGAAAGGAGTTGTATACTTACAAAACAATTAGAATCTAATTTAAAATTAGGTAGAGTTAGTTGAAATGAGTTAAAGGGATCTTTTGTGATTTAATCTGAGTAATAAATTCCGTTGACAGGTATTCAGTCTCTTCATCGTAGGTAAATAATGTTTGTTACTAAGGAGGCTTGGGGAATGCTTTCTGAAGGTTCCCTCACAAACATGGCACAACTATTCCAATCACAACCTGCAACCCGCTAGCTTGTTAGAGGAGTGTACTTAAATGTGTGCCAAATTACAGAGTGGGTTGCTTTGGCAGTCTTGTTCTTAATCTAGTTTTTGCTTCTCTGTGGACAATAGGCCTCCCGAGTCTTTTACTTAATCCTGTTGCATGCTTATCCAATGACTGCCCAGAGCCCTGCTACTCAAAGTGTGGTCCCTGGACCAGCACTGGCTCAGTGAAATACTTGTTACTAATCTATGATGAGATAAATGTAAAAATGGAGATTAAATACCTAGAAATTGATGAAAGGAGATCACTACAACATTTAAGCATATGGTTAGTGGGCTTGTATTTTATGTCTTATTTATTATTTTATTTTAGTTTTTAAAATTTTAGATTCAGGGGTACAAGTGCAGGTCATTACATGGATATATTGCATTGTGCTGAGATTTGGGCTTCAACTGAACCCATTACCCAAATAGTGAACATAGTACCTGATAGGTAGTTTTTAAATTCTTTCCAGACTCCCTCTCCCTTTTTGAAGTCCCCAGTGTCTATTGTTCTCATCTGTAAGACCATGTGTACCCAACGATTAGCTCCCACTTACAAGTGAGAACATGTTGTATTTGATTTTCTGTGTTTCTGCGAATTCGCTTAGGATAATAATCTCCAGCTGCATTTATGTTGCTGCAAACAATGTTATTTTATTCTTTTTAATGGCTACCTAGCATTCTGTGACGTATATGTGCCACATTTTCTTTATCCATTCTGTCATTGCTGGGCACCTAGGTTGATTCCATGTCTTTGGTATTGTAAATAATACTGCAGTAAACATGTGAGTGCAGGCATCTTTTTGGCCAGTGGTCCCCAACCTTTTTGGCACCAGGGACTGGTGTCATGAAAGACAGTTTTTCCATGGACTGATGTGGGGGGCTGGTTTCAGGATGATTTGAGCACATTACATTTATTATGCACTTTATTTCTATTGTTATTATATATTAATATATAATGAAATAATTAAACAGCACACCATAATGTGGAATCAGTGGGAGCCCAGAGCTTGTTTTCTTGCATCTACATGGTCCCATCTTGGGGTGATGTGAGACAGTGATCATCAAGCATTAGATTCTCATAAGGAGTGTGCAACCTAGATCCCTCCCATGTGCAGTTCACAGTAGGGTTAGAACTCCTAGGAGAATCTAATGCCACCACTGATCTGATAGGAGGAGGAGCTCAGGCAGTAATGCAAGTGATGGGAGCAGCTGTAAATACAGATGGAGCTTCGCTTGCCTGCCTACCAGCCACTCATCTTCTGTTGTGTGACCTGATTCCTAACAGGCTGCAGACCCAGTATCAGTCCATGGCCATGAAGATTGGGTCCCCTGTTTTTGGTAGAATGATTTATTTTCCTCTGGGTGTAGACCCGGTAATGGGATTGCTCCCTTGGATAGTAATCCTATTTTTAGTTCTTTGAGAAATCTCCAAATTGCTTTCCACAGAAGCTGAACTAACTTACAGTTCCACTAACAATGTACGTACAGTCATTCCCCTTTCTTTCTGCAACCTTGCCAAAAATCTATCTTTTTAGTAATTTATTTTCATCATATTTTATAAAATTGTCAATTTGCAATAGATCAGAAGATAAAATGTTCTTCCCTACAGATAGTTTGAGAAGAACTGTCTGAGACCAATGGAAAGCCTAAAACAAAATAAGAGAAGTAGAGTCTTGCACCCAGGGCTTTGAGAATGAGGTGGAGGAGAAATGCCAGGGGTAGGTGGTAGACTGGGAAGGGCCTGTACATGTGACACAAAGAGCATATGAGAAATTTCACTCTAAATGGGGGAAATATGTCTTAAAGGAAGCACTGATGACAAATCTAGGACATCTGATTTATTTTAATCCAGTCCTATATGATCAAGGATTACATAACTCTATTCAGCTGTCTATTTCAGAGTCTACTCTTAGAAAATGTGTCTAAAAGTATCTAACCTACATTCTTCCTATTCCAGTTTTCAGGCCTTTCCTATTATCTTTTACAAATCAAATCAGAGTTGGGTCTTCGATAATCTTTTTTGGTTCATGGATACGATCTAAAAGTGAGCATCTGTGTCCTGGCTAAAATTTGTGTTAGAATAAATATGTCTGTGGCAAAGCCATGTAATCACCTAAGGGAGCTTTGATGCATTTTTCAGTCAAAATGCATGTGGTAGAAATTGCTTGAGGAAATAAAAGAAATTATATATATCAGAAAAGATATTTGCATAAAATCAGTAAAAAATCTAGGCAAAACCATTCAGGACATAGGAATAGGCAAGGACTTCATGACCAAAACACCAAAAGCTTTGGCAACAAAAGCCAAAATAGACAAATGGGACCTAATCAAACTCCACAGCTTCTGCACAGCAAAACAAACAGTCATTAGAGTGAATTGACAGTCAACAGAATGGGAAAAAATTTTTGCAGTTTACCCATCTAACAAAGGGCTGATATCCAGAATTTACAAAGAACTCAAACAAATTTACAAGAAAAAAACAAGCCCATTCAAAAGTGGGCAAAAGATATGAACGGACACTTTACAAAAGAAGACATACCTGAGGCCAAAAAACATATGAAAAAATGCCCGTCATCACTGGTCATTAGAGAAATGCAAATCAAAACTACATTGAGATACCATCTCATGCCAGTTAGAATGGCGATCATTAAAAAATCTGGAGACAACAGATGCTGGAGAGGATGTGGAGAAATAGGAACACTTTCACATTGCTGGCAGGAGTATAAATTAGTTCAACCATTGTGGAAGACAGTGTGGCGATTCCTTAAGGACCTAGAAATAGAAATTCCATTTGACCCAGCAATCCCATTACTGGGTATATATCCAAAGGATTATAAATCATTCTACTATAAGGACACATGCACACGAATGTTCATTGCAGCACTGTTTACAATAGCAAAGACCTGGAACCAACCCAAATGCCCATTGATGATAGACTGGACAGGGAAAATGTGGCACATTTACTCCATGGAATATTATGCAGCAATCAAAAACGATGGGTTCATGTCCTTTGTCGGAACATGGATGAACCTGGAGACCATCATTCTCAGCAAACTGACACAAGAACAGAAAATGAAATACCGCATATTCTCACTCATAGGCAGGTGTCGAACAATGAGAGCACATAGACACAGGGAGAGGAGCACTACACACTGGGGTCTGTTGGGGAGAATAGGGGAGGGACAACGGGGGGTGGGGAGTTGGGGAGGGATAGCATGGGGAGAAATGCCAGATATAGGCGATGGGGAGGAAAGCAGCAAATCACATCGCCATGTGTGTACCTATGCAACTATCTTGCATGTTCTTCACATGTACCCCAAAACCTAAAATGCAATTTAAAAAAAGAATCACATGTAATATCAGAAAAGAGGCTGTTGGGTTTGGTAGATTGCTTATATTTTTTGTTTACTAATTTCATTTGCAGAATCACAGAGTGGACTATTCAAATGAATGTAAAACTGACCGGTAAATTCATGACAATGACACTTAGATTTCTTGTCCCTGCTCCGTATTTAACCACAGAGCTCCTTGTAGAATCGATTGCCTGTAAGAGAAAAAGTCTGTGCATTCTGATGGATTCATGACACTGACTCTTCCTTAGAAGGGACTAGAGATTAATTTTAGAGATGATAAGAATACCTTGATTTTTGATTTTAGCAACTTTTGACTTTATACATATATACACATATATATATGTATAAACTTGGAAAATATTTAAGTAAATAGAAACAATCACATTTTTCCTTCATAAAAAACTACTGTTTCCATGTAAGAACATTTCTGTTCAGTCCCTTCTCTATTTATATGAGAATATAATTAGAATCATGTGCAAATATATACAGAGTTTATTCTCATTGTTTATTATAGTTATATTCTAAAAAGTCTGTGAACACTGAATTAGGGAATACTGAACGTTTGCTCCTAGGGGAAATACAGAGTAAGGTTCCTAGGAGCCTAATTTTGTTTTATGTGTGTTTCTGTTTAAGGATGTCTTATTTATGTAATGCTGTTGATTCATTAACATTGGACTTACTGCCAACAGCGCCATAATTCATGCCTGAATGAAACTTAGCTAACACATGCATTTTCTCTAAAAGACACATCAGCCTTCTTGCTCTTAGAAATGCTAGATAACACTTCAGCATGATGTTTGGGGGCCATTTTAAACAGTGAAAGCACCAACAAACTTAAAAAAAATTTAAGGAAAGTGTTGCTTATAGTATGAGAGCTAAAGCAGTAAGGGAGAACATTGCTCTGTTCGAGTGAGGGCCACTCGAGTTCTTTACTGCTCTGTACATGTCCTCAAATGACTGAGATAGCCCCTTCAAATATTTAAGATTTGAGAGTTATAAGTAAGTTTCAGTGAGGAAGCAAATTCTCAAATATAAAATCTACAAATTATGAGGATCAATTGCATATAAATAGGTTTTCATGTTGTTTTATCTTTTAACTTTATGTTATACCTGTAAACTTTCACTATTAATAGTTTATTGCAATATTTTTATAATAATTGATGATATCAGTTGCTAAATATTCTATTGTTCTATAAAATGATGATTATACAAAAGTGCGGAATAGTAGGTAAACTATTTTATTGGATATACCTTTGAATTTTGGGAATTCTTAAACCCTTTTTTCCTAAGAAGAAAATTCCATAGATGGAAGCTAAAATCAATCTCTGACAAATAATTGAACTATTTTAACCATCCAGGATTGTCCAGGGTTGCCAATTTTGGAATGCCCTGTTTTCCACATAGAGGATGCTGCCTTCCCATTTGTCTCCCTTTACCTGTTGATGTCATTGTTTTTCATTAATCGAGTTAAGTACTGTACCCGATTGAGTGATGTGTGTATTGCTGTTTGTAACCAACTTCTTATAGTGTTCACTACTGAGAGAGAGCTCTAACTGATTTCATCTCCCCAGGTGTCGGATTAAATGATGGGCAGTGGCATTCTGTCTCTTTATCTGCTACAAAGAATCACTTGAATGTGGCGGTGGATGGCCATATGGCTTCTGCTACTCCTCTGCTGGGGCTTGAGCAGATTTATTCAGGTGGCACCTATTATTTTGGAGGTAAGAATAGGCATCAGACTCTTTGAGCAACTGAACCATATTTGCATTAGTGCCCCTATGTCCTGAGGAAGTCATTATGTTTTAACCAGTATGAATACTAAGGAATAATTGTTCACTGTCTTTGACCATGGAAATTTTGGGTGGATCCAGTCAAAAAATTCTGACCTGAAGTGCATTTCTGCAAGGTGGACTTACTTAAGTTTACAATTTCTATAATGAGATTGATTTTAAGTAGGCCACCCTCTTCAGTTCTTACCTTCAAACCTTGTTATATTTTCCTAATGTTAAATGATCCTTATATGTCTTCTTCTGATTTTATGGGCTAATTTAATTGCAGTGTTTTCTTGATTATGCCTCTTAGCTCCTTCAGAGCATCCCTACTGCTTCCCTACTGTCCAATGCAGAAGGACAATATTATGCCGATGGTCAAATAATTTAACTTAATTAGCCACAGCAACCTCTTCTCCTTGCTAAGCAATAATGCACTGATACATTTGATGAAATCAGGGCATCAGCCTTTGACACCAGCTCATCTCCCTTAGAGAACAAAAGCAAATGAAGCGTCCACCTGCCCAGTGGATGCTTGTTTAAACTAAAAGCTTGGAAAAGAAAAGCTAAAAAATGGAAATGAATTTTTATCACTGCCAAATTAAAACAAATGTTCTTCTCCATTAGAAATGCAATGTTTTAAAACCGCCAGCAGTAAGACTCACTTCGAATCGTGTTGAGGTATTTCTTATATCTGCATTGTTTTGTCGCTGTTATGTTGCATTTTAATAATTGCTTCTATCTGGAGTCATTTTTTGAATTTGATAGAGGTAGCCCAGTCTTTATTATTCACTAATAAAATACAAATTCTTTTCTAAGTATTGACAGTGAGCACACAGTCCATAAATCAATTTGTAGAATCCTAAAAGCAAAGAAACAAACAAAAAAACTGCTACATAATCCATTACTTTAAAAGGCTGCTTAGGGCCAACAATCTGAAAATATATAATTGCTTCCTTTACTGAGATGCTTAAACCAGGCTGCTTATAAAACCCTTTGGAATATATGATTGATTTTATGGCAATCCATAGTAGCACAGTCTTTTAATAAACAGTAAGATATATGGAACAACTTAACCAAGAGCTTTCATTACAAAGGAAGAGATTTAGAAGCACTAACAGAGATAAGGAAAAAAAATAGGCCTATTGTTAAATGATGCAAAATAAAAGACTGGATAAAATTGTTTGTAAATCATGAAAACAGAATCATCATTCTTCACATATTTTATGTCCTTCATGTTCAGGTTTAACAATGCCTAGCTAGTTTGTATAAATTTTTACTCTAGTGATTGCTTTTATTCATACTGTAATGTTATTTTAGGTAAAATATATCACATATGTACTCTGTAATTTTGCTTGTTTTATTTTGATACATATAATATACATCATTTTTTAACAAATATTTTTGAATAGTTTTAGGTTTACAGAAAAGTTGCAAAGATATAGAGAGTCCTGCACACCCTACATCCAGTTTCCTCTATTGTTCACTCCTTACATTATATATACGTTTTAAAGATTACTAACAATTTTTCTTAAGTACACACCTACCCCTGTGTCCTTCTCCTAAAGACAGATTTTCAATGCATGTCTGTCCCTTGAATCGTATCTTTCAATTTCCCATGTAAATGCTTTCCTGAATTTGGGGTTTATTCTTCCTTCATGTTTATTTTAATTTTACATCTGTTAAGGTGTTTCTAAATAATATATTGTGAGAGCTTCCACAATAAAATTCCAACTTCAGGGTTTTCCTAAAAAATTATGAATCTCAAGTTTACTGAGGTATGTTTGTTTATTCGATCATTTTTTCAGTTGATGTTCTTCTGTATCAGAATGTGCTTGACCTTGGCATTATATTGTGTTGATCATTAAATACAAGCTCTGAAAAATCCAGGCCACCCTCATATTCTCAGGGCTGAAAGCAAGGGGCCGAATGACAGCAGAGGGCCTGCTGCCCAAGTCTGCCCTGCTCTGCCCAGCCTTGTGTTTCCAGAACCAGGTTAAGGAGATCCATCTTCCAGGAAGCCCACATAGGGGTTTTGAGCTGGGAATTGTGGATCCTGGGAGTGAACTAGAGGGGAAAGAGTTCTAATTGGACACATCATCTTTTCCTGTGAGGCATCCTGGTACCATGGGCTAGAGCATGGCCGGAGGAAGGCTAAAGTAGGCTCCCTAAAATGCAGGACTGGCACAGGGACCTGGGTGGTACAGGCAATGCGGTGATCAACTCTTGCCTATTTTAGCTGAAAATCCTTCATCCTGGGAACAACCACCTCTCCCCAGTCCTGGGCGAACTGTGACAGTCATTGACCCTGGAAAGTTCTGTGTAGATGAGACTCCTCTCTATCACTAGGATCTGTGTTGTCTAGTGGAAAGTATTTTTTAGATAATTCTTCAGCCAATTTATGTTCAAGTAAGAAGTTATTCCATGTTGTGAGACACATCTCATCAGTTCTCCTTCTCTCTAAATTTAACCGTAAGTTTCCAGTTATAATAGCTCCACTCTGTACCAGTCTAGACAGTGGCTGTCATGCTGGGAGAGTGGGCTGGTCCTGAACTAGCAGCCCTCTATATATCCCATGCCAGACTTCTAGTATCTGTCCATCACCTTATTAGTCTTTACTTTTTTCCCACCCTCAAGCAAGTGCTTTTCGCAAAGTGAGACTGCATTGTGGTGGTATATTCTGCTCAGCTTTTATCATTTATAAATTGCGTATTTTACATTTAGATTGTCTAGATTAAGGATGGCTGAGTGTCTGATGTCTGTAAATTCCCTTATGGAATCTTTTGCAATGCCTAACATGCCATGCAGCACAAGCTGGGGATACTGTGTGCAAAATTCTCACATCCCCCTCCCTTGTGTAAAGCAAACATTCTCCATCAAATGCACTGACTACAGCACTGTGAAGTCTAACCTGACATCTCACTTCTGCTGCAGTGACATGTAGAGATAATTTATCTGTTATCCTCAGAGGTGCTCAACATGCTGACTGCCTCCAGTAATGGATCCATCCATTAATTCAACATTAAGTATTCTTCAGAAATCTTCCTATTTTAGGACTTTCATCTCGAATTGGGCTCAGTGCTGAACTTCTCTCTGGTACTGCATTATATTAACTTGTTGCTGCCTCTTATCATAGGCTAATGACACTAACCTGGGTTGAACCCCTCTTTGTTCCTAGAATCTCTTGCTTATTGAACACTGTAGCTAGGAATATGAAGTGCCTCATGATAGGATAGCGTGCTTTCTGTAAAATTCCATGATCTTTCCTTGTGACTCTGGGTTTGCTTAGTTTTGTTCCCTACAGGCATATTGCACAATTTATTTTATTCTGAACTAGTTTGAGATATGTCAGGGAACACCACCTGGAGAAAAGAAGATTAGCAGAGTTATTTATATTCCTGGCATATTGTAGTTGCTTCAAAATGTTATTGAACTATTATCCTTTCAGTTTTTACCCTAACATTCTTAATTGGCTAATAAGTCATCCAGAATACATACTGAGATTATGGTAACCATATCTTACACTACAGAAGAAATTTAAGCACTGGAAATGTGTGTAGTACCATACAATAAATTAATACTCAAAAAGCTTTGATGAATTTTTCTTGATATATTAAATTTGAAACTTCAAAGTCTCCATTAGGTTAAAATAAAATCTTTCAATGTGTCTGATAATAGTTTTAAATTTGAATGCTGTCCTTTACTTGCTATGTAAATGTATTTTGTCAGGAAAACAAAGCATTAAGGAAAAATATTATCAGTGCAACAATTTAATTATAATGGAAATTCACAGGTAGAAAAGGAGTGTGGATTGTACAGGAAGTAAGAAGTTGCTGACTCACTTCTTATTCTTTGAAATTGTGATAGTGGTTGATGACTATCGTGGCAAACAAAGATTAATGAAAAATAATATAATAACCACCGTTCTACTCTCTATGTCAGTGGGTTCAATGGTTCTGCATTTTAGGTCCCACAAATAAGTGAGAACATGTAATGTTTGTCTTTCTGTGCCTCGCTTATTTCACTTAACATAATGATCTCTGGTTCCCTCTGTGTTGTTGCAAGAAGCTGGGAAGTGTAGTGGGAGTTGGGGAGGAGTGGGAGATTGTTAATGGGTACAAAATATAGTTAGAAAGGATGCATAGGACCTACTGTTTGAAAGCACAACAGGGTAGCTATAGTCAGTAATCACTTAATTGTACATTTTAAAATAACTAAAATAGTTTAATTGGCTTGTTTGTAAAACAAAGGATAATTGCTTGAGAGGATGAACACCCCATTCTCCGTGATGTGATTATTTCATATTGCATGCCTGTTTCAAAATATCTCATGTACCCCATATATATGCCTACCATGTACCTATACAAATTGAAAATTGTAATATATGTATTCATACTCCATAAACTTATTTATTCCACTTGGATAAAGAAACATTTAGAATGTCATTAAACCACAGACAATAACGATGAATTTTATATTTATTATTTAAATAATTATAAACAAGAGTTATATAAATGTTAGTATAAAAATCAGTATAAATAAAACATTTATACTTTGAGGCAAAGAATAAATAAAATCAAACTGGGAAATGTTTTTGATATTCAGTCATCAAGACTTACCAAAATCCATGTATTTATCCTCTCAAGCATTTATCCTTTGTATATAGGAAAATACAATAATTAATTTGATAAACAGTTGGTAATGTTATTCCAAGTCAAGATAACCCATTTTTTGAATAGTTAGCTTTATAAATACAAAGGCATTTCACCATTATTAAGGTATCTTTTCTTATACATAGTACATATTTTCATCTTTTATGTTCTCTTAATTTTGCAGTTCAAAATACTATGTTCCCATCTGTAAGTTATGTATAGTTTAATATTGCTGGGTGGCATGTTTAGGATTCTGGAGCTAATGTGTATATTTTTCAAATCTAGATCAAACTAATATCCTTGCACATTATTATAATACCAGTGACTACCTGTGAATGCTATGTAACTAAAAAATTCTTTGTATGAATTTCAATTTGTAATTTAGATCAAACTAATGATGACTGCAGTCATTATTCCCTGCTTGAATATGGAAAATAATCATGTGCCTTTTAATTTTATTTTTTAAAATGAAGTTGACTATGATACTGAATTCTGATTCATTATGATGTATATTGGTTTAATTTTGTTTTTGTTTTTATCAGGTTGTCCTGACAAAAGCTTTGGATCCAAATGTAGAAGTCCACTTGGTGGATTTCAGGGATGTATGAGGCTCATTTCTATCAGCGGCAAAGTGGTAGATCTGATTTCAGTTCAGCAGGGTTCCCTTGGGAACTTCAGTGACCTTCAGATAGACTCATGTGGCATCTCAGACAGGTAAGGACAATCTCACTTCATTTCAACCTGCTGGTGTAATTTTAGATGAGTATAGATGTATCAAAAATATGTCACTAATCTCAATATATTAAGGCACCTGAATAGTAAAATTGATCATCAAATACCAATAAATTTGAGACTGTGTGGTTAGTTATTAAACTGACATTTGATACCCTGACAGTGGAATATTTTCCAAGGCAGAGGAATTCAAGTGCTTGCAATTTTCCTAATGAGCCTTTTTGAAAACTCATTACCATCTTCTCTGCAGGGAAAATAAAAATGAACTTCTCCTCTGGAGAAGGTTGGGGGTGTGGTATTGATCAAGATACAAGGATGATCAAAGAGTTGCAGTAAGAGCATCAGTACAGGACATGACAAGGCAGGACTTGAGAGTTAATTGTGGAGGACAGATAACCTTAAAAATAATATATCTGTATTTTTGAGACAAGGTCTGGCTCTGTTGCCCAGGCTGGAGTGCACTGGTGTGATCTTAGCCCACTGCAGCTTCTGCCCCCTTAGCTCAAGCCATCCTCCTATCTCAGCCTCCCAAGTTGCTGGGACTATAGACATGCAACACCACGCCTGGCTAATTTTTATATTTTTTTTCTGCAGAGACAGGGTTTTGCCATGTGACCCAGAATGATCTTGAACACATGAGCTCAAGCTATCTGCCCACTTTAGCCTCCCAAAGTGTTGGAATTACAGACATGAGCCACTATACCCAGCCAAAAATAATAATTAATCATTAATAATAATTGAAACCTGTGGTTAGGGATGAGCAACTATAGCTAAGTCATCTTGTCAGTCATGCTTTAATATCAAGGCTGTTAATTTTATTTATTGAGTTTAAGGGAATGTCATAACCGTTACAGATTAAACAATTTTTTAAACAGTGTGACAAAATTAGCTTCAACTCTGTAGTAATGTTCAATATGTATTTTGAATAAATACATAAATTGTGAGCATCAAAAGTAACTTTTTACTTTTATGAAACATTTTGTCAACAAAAAGACTCTTCTATTTGTATACAACAGACTACTCAGTAGTATTTGTCAATCCTATTTTGAACGCTAATACTTCATTACATCCAGAAAACAGTAATAATCATATTTAACAATAAGAGTAGAAGGACATACTTTCCTCCCCACAAATTGTTTCTTTAAAACCATTTGCAGAGAAAACGATTCTTTTTCTTTTTTTTGAGTCGATGTTTTGCTCTGTCACTTAGGCTGGAGTGTAGTGGCGTGGTCTCAGTTCACCACAACCTCTGTCTCCCAGGTTCAGGCGATTCTCCTGCCTCAGCCTCCCGAGTAGCTGGGATTACAGGCATGTGCCATCCCGCCCAGCTAATTTTGTATTTTTAGTAGAGAAGGGGTTTCTCCATATTGGTCAGGCTGGTCTTGAACTCCTGACCTCAGGTGATCCACCCACCTTGGCCTCCCAAAGCACTGGGATTACAGGCGTGAGCCACCATGCCTGTTGAAAACAATTCTTTCTGTAATGAAAGATGATATGAAAGAGAGAATTTAGACATTAAACCTCAAAAGGGTTGATTTGAGGATTGAATGCCTTCTGGGTCCAATTTTTTGAACTTGTTCATAGTTACAACCTTAACAGCTCTGGAACCTAAAACCTGATTTGGGGGAGGACACACAGTGAAGCTTCCTGGGCCTGGCTTCTCAATATGAGGCTTGCTTACAGAGGCAGGGACTCCCCAGCCCCTGATGGGGAGCAGCCATCAGGGAAACTGGCAGGGAGAGGGTCAGTCATACTCACGGAGTGACAGTGCATGTTGACTATTTCAGGTTGCAGAGCATTCATTGGTACAAGTATATCTACCCTTTGTCCTGTGTAAACATGTTCTGTAACTGCCATTTTATATAAGGACTCCCAGTTGCCTACAATCTGAAGGTACATACTTTCTGTAAAATAGAGGACCATCAGCACAATTGGAGAACATAGCACTTTAGTACCATAACATAAAAATGCTTTTTTCAGAAATAGCAAATTTTGGATAGATCTTGACTACCCATGTTTCTTTTTAAAAGATGCTTTAGGCTAACAGTAACCCTAACAATCTTTAAAAAAAATAGCAAAAATCAAAGTAACATTTGCGTACCTTCTAAATTTCCATGTGTATCTCTAAACCTATTGCCTTATACTAGAAGAAGATTTATATTTAGTTTGGTCTTATATACTATACCTGCTGACATAGTATCCCAACATGGATGGCATCCCATACATTAAATGAACCTTTAAAAAAAAATCTGTATACCAGGCCTCATGCTAAGCACTTAACATGAATGAGTGTTTAAATCAAGCCTCACAAAATCTCTTAGAACCTGTTCTTAATAGTGTTTGTTTTCTAGAAATGTGGAATCAGATGTACAGAGAGAGTAAGTTGGCTAACATGACATGGCTAAGAAAAGCCATAGCCCACCCTCTAATCCAAGCATGCTGAATCCACGAAAGTCCCCTAAATGTTTGCCTGCCATGCCATGCAGCCCCTCTGGGTGCAAGTTAACATTTGGGGTGGTTAATATTTAATACATGCAAAATAAATATATCATTTGATGGTTTAATAAACTATAATTAAAAACAAGCAGTAACATTAAAAACATTAACAATCTGACAGGAACTTCATACAGGTTTTTAAAAATTATAATTGACTTTAAGTTGGCTCAGACCTACACACAAGGGTGTAATTACAAATACACATGCATGCTCGTATTCATATTACATTACGTGGCTGTTCACACACACTCTCTACACATATGCGCCATTGTGTTTCCACATATTTTTTCTTATGTATGCACATTTGTATACTCATTCACATAACCCAAAGCTTCTTAACACATTCACACACCATTCTTACACACATTTACTCAACTCCTCAGATATTTTTACTCATGCACACTCATACACATGCACATGACCATCCTTATGCACTTCTCCACTCATAAGTCCTACCCACACTTCTTACATTCACATGTTCCTTATACAGAGTCATTCAGCCACCACACATACACCTAGAAGACCTCCCCTCATCCTCTGTGGACATGCAGCAGGGTGGCCCTCAGTCCAGGGACTCTGGAAAGGGGTGGCTGATGCATGAGTACAGAACTGAAAAGGCAGCTGCTGTACAGATACCCACATCTGGGGCCAAAATGTGAGTGGGGCTGGGGCAGGAGTGATAGCTACTAAGACAACAATTCTTATGAAGTTGCTTGGACCTAAAACACTTATTAAAGGAAATTGTTTAGTATATCATTTGTTCTCAAAGGACGCCTGGGCTACAGAGACCCCTGACAGGAACCAAGAGGCTGTCAAGTGACAATGTCCACCTCGTGACCTCAGCAAGCCCAGCACCAGCTCCTGACTTTCTTGGCTCCAGCCTTTGCATGTCATAACCTGTCCTTCCAATTCACCCCTACTACCTGGTCCTCGGGCTCTGGCCTCCAGCCTCCATGGCACCATCCTCCATCCAGGCCCATCGTTTTCCTCCTTCTTTCTGGTGGAGTTTCTATCTTCCTACTTTCCCTCCCCTTTTCTCCATGGAGCCCTCAAGCCTGCCCTTTCTTCCTTATGGTTACATGTGGCGTTTATTCCAGCTGGTTTGAAGATCATGGTGTTATTCTGCCTCCTGTCATACTGAAGGCATGGCCCTTTTGAAGGCCAGGGTTAGGGATATGAGGAGCTTGGTTCTTGTCAATATCAAAATTTTGAGGAAGAATATAAAATATGACTTGTGATGGTCATCATTACCTAGCACTCATAGGCACTTCAGTTTGTTTTCCTAAATGTGATAATGTGTAGAGTTTACTTCAATATTAATTCCAGCCAATCTTTACATTGTATGAAAGCTTTTGAAATTTACATTGAAATGGAAAGGGAATCAGGAGACATCAAAATCTTACTATCACTTTAGTTGTGGGTATGTTGATGTAAGTTTGTTAAACTTCACAAGCAGTGGAAATGATGGCTATATCCAAGGAAAAAGCTTTAGTGGCTGGAGAAAATGGGTTAATGAATTGTGTTATCCTGAACCGGAGTGAGTAGGGAGGAGAAAAGTGTAAAATACAACTGTTTAGAACATTGGGTGAGAATGAGTACTATGTCATCATCAGTTACTAGCAGAAACATTGCTGTAATATAATGACTTTAAATAAAATCCACAATTTAATCTTTCACATTTGAATTAAAAATATGAAAAATCTAGTCTAACAAGAATCAAGAAACATTGACTCAGTTGGTCTTTTTGAAGCAGATCAAACAGAAATAGCATGTATGTCACAATCAGTTAAGAGTCATTCTTTTGGATTTTAGGCAAAGCCACTTAGATTGAATTCCTTTTGAAATGTAGTTGGAGGTTTGCCAAAGAATAGGCTTTGGTTTTCTGTTCCTGCGTTAGTTTACTATAAGTAGTGGTATGTAGCTCCATCTGTGTTCCTGCAAAGGATGTGATCTCACTCTTTTTCATGGCTGCATAGTATTCCATGGTATATATGTGCCACATTTTCTTTATCTGGTTTATCATTAATGAGCATTTAGATTGATTCTGTGTCTTTGCCACTGAGAATACTAATGTAATGAATACAGCATGTTCTTATTTACAAGAGGAGCTAAATGATGAGAATATGTAGACATAAAGAGGGGAACAACACACATCCTGGGATCTGTTGGAGGTTGGAGGGTGGGAGGAAGGAGAGGATCAGGAAAAATAACTAATGGGTGCTAGGCTCAGTACCTGGGTGATGAAATCATCTGTACAACAAACCCTCATGACACAAGTTTACCCCATAAAAAACCTGCACCTAAATTACCCCTGAACTTAAAATAAGAGTTAGAAAAAAAAAAGACATAAAATACCCAGTAGCTTAAAAAAAAAAAAGACTTTTCTGAATAATCTCGTTTAGGTTTGATTACTGAGAATTGTTATTGTTTTAATATTAAAATCTCCTTGGTTTTATGCACTGTCATTGATTTGAAATGCTTAAAATTAAATAAATCGTGATACATTTTTGAATAAATTCCTGTGAATCTATAAAAATGCTAAATATAGGTCGGGCGCAGTGGCTCAAGCCTGTAATCCCAGCACTTTGGGAGGCCGAGGCGGGTGGATCACGAGGTCAAGAGATCGAGACCATCCTGGTCAATTTGGTGAAACCCCGTCTCTACTAAAAATGCAAAAAATTAGCTGGGCATGGTGGCGCGTGCCTGTAATCCCAGCTACTCCGGAGGCTGAGGCAGGAGAATTGCCTGAACCCAGGAGGCGGAGGTTGCGGTGAGCCGAGATCGCGCCATTGCACTCCAGCCTGGGTAACAAGAGCGAAACTCCGTCTCAAAAAAAAAAAAAAAAGAAAGCTAAATATATATAAATTTAATGAATATAAAAAGATGCCCATTATTAATTTTTGGTTTCTTATAAAGCAGATTGTAAAGTAGTATTTCTTTATTTTTATATTTATGAATATATATACATATCTACATGTTTGTAGTGGTCATTCATACACAGTGAAATTGCCAACGGCATTTCTTTTTTGTTTCCTCCTAGATTGTTTAATTTCTGTACAGTGGACATTTCATTTTCTTATAATTAGGAAAAATACATAATGTTTTTAGTTAAAATTGGAAACAATTCTATAAGCAATCATGAAGTTTCCATCCTTCATTTTAATAAAGGGGATAGCAGAAACCCTATTATGAATATATTCTTGGCAGGCTTTGTAGTTCATTTTTTAATTGGGGATGAATGAGGGCATTTAAAGCCTTGGCCTCTTGGTATGTTTCATTCTTGATTCTAAAAGGTATCAGTAATTTGATCAGGGTTATTTGAGTCCATACCACAGGTTCCCAAACTTGGTACACGGGCTATTTTGTACATGATGTGCTGTCTGTCTCAGTAACTTTTTGTTTTGAGATGGAGTCTCACTCTCTTGCCCAGGCTGGAGTGCAGTGGCATGGTCTCGGCTCACTGCAACCTCTGCCTCCCGGCTTCAAGGCTTTCTCCTGCCTCAGCCGTCCGCGTAGCTGGGATTACAGGCATGCGCCACCATATCCAGCTAATTTTTTGTACTTTTGGTAGAGTCGGGGTTTCGCCATGTTGGCCAGGCTGGGCTCAAACTCCTGACCTCATGATCTGCCCGCCTTGGCCTCCCTAAGTGCTGGGATTACAGGTGTGAGCCACTGCAACCAGCTGACTTTACTGTGCCTCTGAGTGGAAAGATAGATCTAACACTTGGATTTAAAAAGTGGCTTAGCTATGAATAGCTTAATAAGTATTTATTTCCTTACAGCTGGCTAACAGTGTCAGTGAGATGAGGCCATCTGTGTTTTCTTATTGGTGCTTAAAGGAGTTAGCATTCTACCTACCCAGAGGCTGGGAGACAGGGGCTCTATCTTTCTTAATGATTACATTTCAAAGGGGTGGTTCCCAGGTCCTTGAAGGACATTGCTGTGTTGTAAAACTGGCAAGAGGCTGGGAGAAGATTTACATCTTAAAGGGACAAAGAAAAAATTGATCACTGTAAGTTTTCTTAAGTAAATGCTCTAAGATAAGGGAGTCCAAGGCCTACAGTCAGCAAGAAACCTATTTGAACTTTGGTTAAGCTGAGGGGAATGTTGGTGCCACTTTAGTCCTTATAATGAGGGGGAAAGAATCCATAATACTATTTTTTCTGTTAAAATTGGAAAAATTATATAAGCAAAACAGGAAGTTCTCATCCTTAGTTTTACTAAAGGAAGTGGCAGAAACCATATCACAAATATATGCTTGGCAGGTTTGTAGTTTATTTATTTGTTAACCTCTAATGAATGAGGGCATTTAAATCTTGATCACAATGTATCTTTCATTCCAAATTCTAAAGGCATCAAAACTCTGATCAGGGCTATTTGAGTCAATGACAAAAGTTTCTAAACTTTTTTTTTTTTTTAATCTATGGTGTGCCCCTAAGCCGAAAGACCTTCCTAACACTAGAAATATATCCCTAACCTTAAAAGGTGGTTTAGGTCCAAAAAACTTAACAAATATGCCCTAACAGGTTAGGAACCCTTTGAAAAAAGTAATACAAATTGTTGGAAAAAAATAATAATTTTATTTTGAGTTAAACGTAGTGACTTAGTGTTTAGGCATGTGTACCTATTGAACACTGCTCAGTTTTTCAAAACTTGAAATCAAATCAGACTCCAGAGCTGGGCATGGTGGTGAAAGCCTGTAATCCCAGCTACTCCAGAGGCTGAGGCAGGAGAATCCAGGAGGCAGAATCCCTGCTTGAACCCAGGAGGCAGAGGTTGTAGTGAGCCAAGATTGTACCACTGCTCTCCAGCCTGGTCAACAGAGTGAGACTCTGTCTCAAAAACAAAAATAGAAACAGAGAAAAGAAAGATCAGGCACCAGTAGCCTCATTTTTTTGTTCAATGCTGATTTCACATGGCACTTGCTTTTTAAAACAATCAGTTACTGAAACCCTGCTCCTCACAGATAGGATGTGATGAAAAGGAATATATGATGATCTAATGTTGAAACGAAACCACCTCAAGCTAGTTAGTAAGTCACACAGTATCCGATAGATGTTGAGTACGACAGACATTTCTCTTGAAAACTTAAATTATCCTGGGAGTCTCTATGAGTTCTGATTTGCACCTTACAGCAGCACCCCAACACACTGCTTGAAATCTGAGTCTATGCTGTATCTTCTCCTACATTCCTAGAAGTATCCCTCAAGTGAAGGAAGATATTTCTCTGTGTTCCTTTTTCTTTTCTACTTTTATTTTTATTCCTTCTCCTTTCAATGTTCGAAAAATGTAGCAATTCAATGTGATAAAAATGTTATTTCATGGATGCTGTTGATATTCCTGGCAACATGTTGAATTGTGTTATGTCTCTTAGGGCAAATGAAGGGCTCTGATACAGTGAGACATGTTGAAAATGAAGTAATCGCGACTACCTGAGAATTGGCTGAAATCTGATGAATTTATTGATCTAAGCTTTAGTTCTGTGACTAAAGTGATTAACAACAGACCGAAGCATCATTAGTCATTGTGTTAGAGTTGATGTGTGTCTTTCTCGTGACCATGTGTAAATGATCAATACTTTAAGATGTCTGAAAACGGAAACTGGTGATTTTATCTGAACATCCTTGTAGGTGTTTGCCCAACTATTGTGAACATGGTGGGGAGTGTTCCCAGTCTTGGAGCACCTTTTATTGTAACTGTACCAATACTGGTTACAGAGGAGCTACTTGCCATAACTGTAAGTGGAACATATCTGCTTTTTCTTGCCCCTGTGATGGTTTTTTTTGTCCCATTTCCCTTTTCATTACCGTGTGTATATATGTCCGTGCTGTGCAAACTTAGCATCTAGTTGTTAATCCACACCTCGTTTCATAAAGTAGTCAAGATTCCATGTAGAAACATATAATATGAAATAGGTAAGAAAAAAGTAGAATACCTGGCAAAGGGAAAATACATATAGAAGATGAAAGGTAGATAAAGATTGAAAATAAATTACATGCAGAATGTGAATTTAGTTATCTTGTTCTGCTACTTGATTTGGGCCAGCATTTTGACACTAAACTTTCTAGAAGGCACAGTACAAGTGGAAACATGATCAGTTACCAAATTCTTACTATTCATACAATGAAACAGAGATTCTCAGAAACAGCCCTGGTTGGACTTGGGGCAGGGTGATTTTTGGTATGCAGATTTAGATATCCAATGGAGACTAGATGTCATAGTCTATTTGGATAGTTGTAACAGAATGCCATAGCCTAGGTGACTTATAAACTGCGGAATATATTTCTTATGGTTCTGGAGGCTGAGAAGATCATGATCAAGATGTCAGCAGATTAGTTGAGGGTGTGCTTCTTGATTCATAGACTTCCATCTTCTCACTGTGTCCTCACGTGGTGGAAGGGGTGAGGAATCTCTCTGGGATGTCTTTTTTTCCTTTTTTTTGAGATGGAGTTTCATTCTTGTTGTCCAGGCTGGAGTGCAATGGCACGACCTCAGCTCACCGAAACCTCCGCCTCCTGGCTTCAAATGATTCTCCTGCCTCACCCTCCGGAGTAGCTGGGATTACACTTGTGTGCCACCATGCCCAGCTAATTTTGTATTTTTAGTAGAGATGGGGTTTCTCCATGTTGGTCAGACTGGTCTCAAACTCCCGACCTCAGGTGATCCACCTGCCTCAACCTCCCAAAATGCTGGGATTACACATGTGAGCCACCGTGCCCGGCCTGGGATCTCTTTAACAAGGGTGCTAATACCATTCATGAGGGCTTCACTCTCATGGCCTAATCACTTCACTAAGGGCCCACCTCCAAATACCACCATATTAGGAATTTTCAGGGGAGGAGACATATGAATTTTGAGGGGGCATAAACCTTCAGTCTATTGCACTCGATAATCCTTACATTTTCTTGCCCCACCTAGTTAATGAGGGTGATAAGGAAAAGGATGGTAGATAATAATTAAATTATGGTGGTAGATCAATAGTTAATTTTTATTCAATAGTTTCTAAATGTCAGGTACTTATCTAGTATTTTATATATTCTAACTCTTTTAATTCTGATGGTCATCCTAGTACGTGAATACAATTATATGCAACTTACTTATAAGGTAATAGATATTAATCAACTTGTTCTAGCTACTTAAAATAGTTGAGGCAGAGTGAGGATGTGAAGATGTGGCATTATCTTCTAGAGCCTGCGATAACAACCAATGTCCTTTTTTTTTTTCTGTATTACAAATCATGCATTTTTTTTTTTTCTGGTGAAATGCATGTGTTGAAAGGCTCATGTTATTTCATTGGCCAGTTGTTCCAGCGCGTATTACGGGAAGACCAGAATGCCCATCCCCCTATTTTTCCCTATTGTTACTGACATTTCTGAGCAACTGAACTCCTAGTATCATCTCCTATAGCCTTGACTTAAGGCATGGGTATTAGGTACAAAGCCAGCAGTCTCATCACCTTTGGTCTATTACTCTGTACTCTGCTTTGTGCTCCTGCCAGAGTTGAGATTGGAATCCTGGGCTCTCAGCTCTGGGGGCCTGCACAGAGGACCCTCAGAAGCCCTGATTTGGTGCTGGGAAGGACATCAAGAGAATCTCTCAGTTATACCACTATTGCTGGAGTCATTCCTGGGCATGAATTGTGTATATTGAGGTGCCTCATAAGATTTTTATGAAGAATGTTTGCTGGTGAGAAAGCCACACCTCACCTGTACCAAGAAGCCACCACCTCACCTGTACCCACATGCCAGGTTATCTGACCCAGGACACCCAGCTAGTGGAGGGACAGTACTTTTTTATATATCCTCCATTATCCCCATGTAGTAACTTACTGAAAACAGAGAGCCTTTCAGTGTTTTCACTATTCATTTTAATTGTTATTAATGACTGAATCTAAACATAAACCAAACAACTCTGAAGACAAAAATTAGATAATAAATAAAGTTACTTTCATCTGTGACCCACAATTTGATCCAATAATTGAGTTTAATTTTTTAGGTTCTTGAGAAGACACCTCTAACAGAGCTGAAGGTTTTTTTTTTTTTTTTCCTGTAGCTATTCTGAGAAATGGAGCCAGATCAACAGTCTTGGTTATAGTGGAGGGCAGGAGATGGGGTTTGTTACAAAGCCTTATTAGGAAATAATCATTAAACAGCCATGATATAAAAATCAAGCCATATACATAAAGCAGAAGCCTTTCCAAGTGTTCTCATCCAATCCTTTTCCACAACTGCAAAGTTATGATGTTCTGCCAAACTCTTTCAAGGACTTTATGAACATATGCTTGTGTACATAGAAATGTGTGAACTGGTCATTTTTACATGCCCACTTCAGTGCACAAAATGCAAATGTGACTGGAAAACGATCCATGCTTATTTCTCTATCAGTGTGGTACATAATAGGAACAAAATAAAACCATCACACCGTGGAGAAGTGTGGAAGTAAATTTATATGATTACTTGAAATCCTGGTAACATTGAACAAATTAGCCATATTGTTTTGTGTTGTCTAACCACTCATTAACATAATTTTCAAAACTAAAATAGATTCCGGGATGAATATTCAGGGGATTGTTTATTTCTCATTTCACAGAATAAAATGCTTAACGGAAGTTCTCGTTATATTTGGCCAAGTGCTCAATGAGAGGTGTGCGTTGTACACAAGTGTTAATATGAAACCTTGTACATGGCAAATATAGTATTATATAATTAAAAACATCCAAACATCCTATTATGGATCTAAATACATTGAAACCACTTAAGGACATGGTTCATACAAGTATTTCTTCTGCTTTGAATTTTAATGATCTTGATTCTCATTATAGAGCATGGGTGGGAGTTTCTTCAGTAAATTACTCTAAAAATTATTGATGAGGAGCTTTGTGAATGATATTTGTTTTATAAAAAACATTTTATCTATAGTTAATTTTCTGTAAGAATGGAGTATAGTTACAACAGGATTAAAATGTTTCTATTGTATAATTATTGGCTAAGAGCAGGTTATTTAATGAGGTTACACTGTTGTGCTTTAGACATTAGGTTATTAAAAGGTGCTGCTAGAGTTAGAAAATCCAAAATGTGTGCTGCAAGATAAGTTATGACATTGTACATATAAGACTCTAACATTGAACACCTGTCTTTTCTTTCCTTGTTCTTCATAATGTCAAAGTAGCTAAATTTTGATTTTGGCCAAGTGATTTCATTTTCCTTTAGTGATTAAAAAAAGTCAGAAAATCGTCCTCATTTTTCCATCAAATCACCTTCATCCATATTAATTTGTTAAAAGAATGAGTTTTATTTTAAAGTAAGTTTTGCCTTTTCTCCTAGTCAGTAATGTACATATTAAATTTCAAGACTTGCAGTATTTCATGTCCAAATTAAAAGTTAAGAGATTCATTTCATGCTACTCCATTAATGTTGGTTCTTTTTTTTAAAGCTATCTATGAGCAGTCATGTGAAGCCTATAAACACAGAGGAAATGCTTCAGGGTTTTACTATATAGATTCAGATGGAAGCGGACCCCTGGAACCATTTCTTCTATATTGCAATATGACTGGTGAGTTAATCAGCTTTTATTTTATAGTTAAATTTGCATGTATGTTTTAAATACACAAAATTAAAATGAAATAAGCAGAATGTTGACCTAATTTGCAACTTGATTAAAATGTGTGTTGTTCCTTAGAAGAACTGAAAATAAATCTTTAGAAAATAATTAAAAGGTAATGATTTTAAATGTCTCTTTTGGTATATGTGGTATCTGTCTAAAACATCTAATAAGAAATGTTTCCAATTATGTCCCCGAACAAGAAGGATAGACCATTTCTGGGAGAAGATTGATACATGTAAAAGCTTTGAACAATATTTACTTTTTAAATGTATGTAAACATAAAGTTTACATCTTCTTGAATTCTTTACTTACACAAGTTTACATAAAAATTAATAATCATGGAAAATGTGTTTGATGAAATTCAACATTAATCCTTAATTTAAAACACCCCACAAATGATCAATAGAAGGAAGTTTTCTCATTTTGATAAAAAGTGCCCACCAGAATACCTTACAGCATATATTACAGTTTATAGTGGAATTGGAAAGCTTTTCCTCTCACCAGCATTAATACCATTCTCTTCACTATTGTATTGGACGTCCTAGACAGTGCAATAAAGCAAGAGAAAGAAATGAAAAACATACGTATTTCATTATGGGAAAAAAGACTAAGAGTCTCATTATTTGTAGTTAATCAGATTATATATTAAAATACTCGGAACAATTTACGGATAAACTATTAAGATTAGGATTGTCATTGTCAAATATAAAATTTTATTTTTGTACATCAGCAATAAAAGTTAGAAAATATGCTTTTAGGAGATCATATTTTCAATAGCATAAAAAATTCTCAAACATATGGTAGTAAATCTAATGAGAGATGTGCAAGGTTTCTACACAGATAAGTATAAAACACCCTTTAGATGACCTAATATCCTAAATAAATGGAGAAATATAAAATGTTTACTGATTAGAAGACTCAATATTGTATAATATCAGTTCTTCCAAACAAGATATTGATTCAGTGCAAACCTAAATTAAAATTCAAGCAGAGTGTTTGTTTGTAGATTGGTGTGATTATTTTGGTGAAAATCAACAGGCATAGTCTAAAATTCATGAGTAAATACAAAGAGACAAGAAGAACCAAGTCAATTAGTCCTGAAGGATAAATTTAAAGGGTTCCACTCTGCTAGATATAGGCATTATGCTGATATGCTATGTACAGCTGTATGTAGCTGTCTCAAAGATAAACAAATAGACCAATAAAAACAAAATAGAGGATTTATAAACACACTCACTCATATATGGATAATTGATTTATTGCCAAAGTGGCATTGATACATAATGAAGGAAAGATGGTCTTTTCAACCAGTAGTGCTGATGGAAATTGTACTTAAATGTCAATAAAAGGAGTACTAATCTCTACCTCCTTAAACACACACACACAAATAAATTCTAGATGAACTGTGCTGTCCAGCATGGTAGCCACAAGCACAAGTGCCTATTTAAATTCTAATTTAATTAAAATTAATTACAAAACAAAATGACTGCATTGTAAAAATTTTAACTTAAATATAAGAACTAAAATAGGATTAAATTACAGCCAGGTGCAGTGGCTCACACCTGTAATCCCAGAACTTTGGGAAGCCAAGGTGGGGGTATGATTTGAGCCCAGGAGTTTGAGACCAGTCTGGTCAACATAGTGAGACCCTGTCTGTATTTTTCTTTTTTTAAGTTTACTTTCTCAGTCTCCCTGGCTGTATTTTCACTGCTTAATAGCCTCCCGTGGCTAATATGGAGTATATCATCATGGATGTGGAACCTTATCATTTGCTGAAAGTTACATTGAACAGTGCTGTGTTAGGAAGTCAACATTTTATGGAGCAAAACCAAAGGAAAAGGGTAGTATTATTCTACATTGAGGCAGGAGGTGTTACAAAGGAAGATTTGGTTCAGTGGATATGTGTTCAGAAAACAGCACGAAACCTAGCGTAGCGGGAGTATGGTGAGTACGTGGGGAGTAGTAAGACAGGAGAGAGTCAAGTGGGGCGGGGAGGGGAAGAATTTGGGCTGCATAACAGTAATGTAGGATTTTTTTTTTTTTACTCTGAAATGAGATAAGACACTGAGGAGTTTTAAGAAATGATGGGATGTAATCTAACTTCCTTTAATTGGATTGCAACTGCTCCTGGGTTAGGGAATGCTTCTTCCGGAACAGGGGTAGAGGGGTAGGAAGGAGTGAGGAGACTATGCATATTGTACTTTTAAGAGTTGGGAGACTATTTCAAGTAATGCAAAAATCCAGGACTGATTGCACCAGATAATAGCATTGTAGATGTGGGAAAAGGTGTTAGATTTTTCTCTTTGCATACTTGTAAGGTGTGAGAGATCAAAAAGCCAAAAATAATGACACAGTTTTTGCCCTGGGCAATAGAGTGTTTGTTTGAACTGCCATTGTTTAAGGTGTGATCAGAAAAGGTTTAAGGTGAAAGATCGCAAGCTCTGTTTTACATATTTTTTGAGTTTGAGATGTCTGTTTTTCTACATTCAAACAAGATTCTGGGTAGGCATTTGAATATGGGAGCAGCAGCTTCTTTAAACTAATGAATGCATAGTTCTAAAAACCGCAGGTGGTGGCAAGTTCTGTGCCAACACATATTTTGGCAGAAATTGCTACAGAATGTGTCTTCAAAGATTTTTCATTTAACACAAACTGGTGGCTTCCATTTGTCTCCCAACCATTGAGGACATTGCCCCGTACACCAAAACGACCTAAAACAAATGGTGGTTCCTATATATTTGTCTTCTCAATGAAGCTCTCCTGCCTGTACAGTATGAATGCCCGGACAGCACAGCTGGTGGTTCTGATTCAGTGCGACCACTGAGGTGGGGCAATGGAAATAATATCGTCATGGATCTATCCAAATGATTCTTATGTTTGGGAATCACTGTTTTAGGCTTTATGGTTCTCAAATTTTAGTATGCCCTGGCAACTCTGTTATGTAAGAATTAAACACATGCGAGAGGACTTTACAGAGAGAGAGAAAAAAGAAGACTTTACAAGTGTAAGATATGAATTCTAGTATCAAAATGTTTTATTGCTGTTTTTTTTTTTACCAACTTGGATAGGTTGGATTTTGAGTGAGATTTATGTAACAGTCTACCACTGCAAACCTGTAAATTCTGTGTTCCCATAAATGCATCCGGATCTATACACATACACATGTTATATAAAGTTTGATTCTAAAATTAGACAGTGATAGGTTGATGAATATCTCTAGTCTCTGAAGGTTTAAGAAGCACACACATACACAGGGTTGTACGCGTGTGTGCACGCATGCACACACACGCACACCCCTCGTCCATTCTCATTACTTCCAATAGTTATGTTCCGTAAAGTAACCAGGGTCACTGGACTTGAAAACACTGAACATATTACTCCTCAGGGGAAACACAGTAAGCTGAGTTTCCTGCAAGTCTCTGGTCCCAACAGTCTCATCCAACAATCAATACATAATCTTGTTTCATGTGTGTTTCAGGTTAAAGACACCTTATTTAATACATATTGTTGATTCATTAAGATTATTCATTAACATTGGGCTCGTGCCCAAGAGCCCTGTAACTCACGCCTGAACAAAGCTTATCTAACACACATGTTTTCTAAATAAGCCTCAGTACGCGCAGCCTTCTGTGTTTAGGAACACTCAACAACATTTCTGGGAGTGGGGGGCATTTTAAATAGCAAAAGCACTGACAAATAGCACAAAAATGCAAAAAATGTGGCACGTAATAGACCACAAATGAGACATTTGTCTATAGTATGAGAGCTGAAACAAGAAAACACACCTTGGGAGGCCAAGGCAGGTGGCTCACGAGGTCAAGAGATTGAGACCATCCTGGTCAACATGGGGAAACCCCGTCTCTACTAAAAATACAAAAATTAGCTGGGCATGGTGGCGCGCACCTGTAGTCCCAGCTACTCGGGAGGCTGAGGCAGGAGAATTGCTTGAACCCAGGAGGTGGAGGTTGCAGTGAGCTGAGATTGTGCCATTGCACTCCAGCCTGGGTAACAAGAGCAGAACTGTCTCAAAAAAAAAAAAAAGAAAAAAGAAAAGAAAACAGTGTTTCCTTGTTCACCTGTAACAGGGTATGTGAATGTCAGGCAGGCCAAATTTTTGCAGCCCTGTATGTGTTCACAACCAACTATGAAAGCATTAGGGTTACAAATAAATTTTAACAAGTAGGCAAATACACAAATAAGGAGAATCTGTGTGTAATGAATATCGACTATATCTATATCTTATGCTTATTATGGGTAATAATTTAGTAATTTATAGGCCATAATATTTATTATCTAAATGATAATGAAATTATCAATTTTATTGTATTGAATAATTATTTTATTTCAATTAAATCAACATTTACATTTTTTATATTACATAGCAATTAATATACCTTATTATAGAAGTTGTCTTTGATAAACAAATTATTTAAGGAAAAAATTGTAGTTAAGTCTCAACAATTCTAAGAGACCTGAAGTGTGTGTATATGTGTGTGTGAAGAGAGAGAGAACAGATTTCACGTTTTAGGAGCTAAGATTTTGAAATGAGGTCAAATGGGTCATAGATCCCAAAGATGGGAGAAATGTAAAAAAAAAAAAAGACTGGAGTCCCTGTTAGTATGCAGAGATTAAAGGTGCTTCAACAAGATTCTTTAAAAGTATTGATGAAAAAGAGGACATTCAGAAAATTTAAACCACGTGAATAGCAAGGCGTTCAGAAACACAGATGCGCAGAGACAGCTAAATGTCTCCAGTAGCTCGGGAATATTTGAACATATTCAAACGAAAGTGACAACCTCAGAGTGTTGCAACCCAGTGAGAAATACATGTTACTACTTGAAACCTTATTGATCTGGTTTTGCAAATGAGGAAACCGAGACTCAGGGAGGTTAAGTGTAGCAGGTATAGCTTAAAACTCTCCATATTGATCTGGTTTTGCAAATGAGGAA